CCCTCTCGGGGCCTCGCTCCGAGCCTGCCCGGTCTGGAGCCGTCCCTCTCCCTGCCGGCAGGCCCGTCCTGTCCTGGTTCTGTGCTCTGGCCTCAGGGAGCATCTGTCCTCTCTTGTCCCCCATCTGACTCGTCACCAGGTGGTGGCGGTTCATGCCGCCTGGGTACCTGTGGTTGTCCACTGCTCTGCCTTGCCCCGTCCCGTCCAAGCCACAGTTGCCCCCTCTCATTTTCTCTCGCCCACATCTCACCCTTCCACAGCCACTGCCCAGACCATCCCTGTTTAGCAGCCCGAGGGTCTCATCGCTGCTCGGCCTGGGACCCCGCACCATCCCGCTGCTCTGATGCTGAGGACGAGGCTGGCCAGCGTGGCTGCAGGGCCCGGCCCATCTCCTGCCTCTTCGGAGGTCCCTGTCCTCACCCCTGTGCACGAGCCTCCTTTGGTCTCTCCCTCCTGCTCTGTACCTTCCCTCCCACCTCGGGGCCTTTGCTCACTCTGAGCCCTCGGCCCAGCCCCCTCCTAGCCTGGCGAACTCCAGCCTCTGCGCACTCTCACTTCCCGGGGCCCCTTCCCCGACCCCGCCACGCCTCCCAGCGCACCCCGCTGTCTGTGCGACTGCTCAGCGCTCACGTCCTCAGACCGGTGCGCAGCCCTGGGCCCAGCTGAGTCCGTCTGCACCACGGTCACCCGGGCCTGGCACAGGCTGGCGTGGGGAGGGTCCAGGTGAGTGAACAGTCTGGGGCAGCGGCTGGCCAGCTTTTCCTTAACAGTTAATATTCTAGGTTTTGCGGCCTCGAGTCTCTGTCCCAACTGCCCTACCTGCTAGTGTAGCCAGAAGGCAGCCCTAGACCATCATAGGCAGTGGGCACGGCAGCAGAGCCTCATTTACGAGAGCGGGCAGCAGGCGGGGGTGCCAGCCCTTGCTCTAGAGAAACAGCAGAGTACACCCAGCGCACACGGGGCTGTGGCCGGGGGCACAGATTTCTATGAGAAGGTCCGTGGCTTCCTGGAAATTGCTGGGAGCAGCAGAAGGTGGTTCAGAAACAAGTGCCCCTCTGACAGGTGTGACTCTGAAGATGAAACCTCTGGGTGCCCTCTCACCTCACCCCACAGGGCTCCCCAGTGGCCCTGGGAGGCAGACAGTATTGGCCAAGTGGTGACAGTCCCCAGCATGGGGTCGGATTCAGGGGGGAGGTGCCTTGTTTAAAGTCGAGCTCCGTCTCGTGAGGGTGGGGCACCCAGCAGCGACCTGAGCGAGTTCCAGTGTGTCGTGGGGCTGGTCACCTGTGCTGTACCCCAGTGAAAACGCCTAAAGTGAAGGTGGTGAGGTGGTGTCTCGGTGCGTGTCAGTGAACAGTCCTTGCCAGCATGTCCTTCTGGTCCCTATAACATTGCCCTTTTATAGCTCAAAGTCACGACTTTTGTGATAATTCCAAACCTAAATGTTTAGCCAGGTAAGAGACTGCTTTTGGAGATTGGGGGTGCCTAAGCCCTGGGGACTGTCTCTGACAGTGGCCTGAGGGTGTGAGGGGGCCGCTCGGGGACCCTAAGGGATATGCCTTCCCACTGCTGCTCATTTACTCCAGAGCCACCAGGCCAGGTGGCCTGGCAGGACAGACGGTGGCCGACACTGAGTAGAACAGAGACATACGGGTTCCTTGGGCTGCTCAAGTCTGGGCACGGGGCCAGGGGACAAGACCATCTCCTGGGGTCTCATGGCTGGAGCGAGTGGGGGGAGGGGAGTCATGCCAGGTCTCCCCTTATGTGTGCTCAGTGGGGACAGAGCATAGGTACACCGTGAGCGCTCCGTGAACGTCACCTGCCAAGAGCAGCCCCCACAGCAGTGTCAAGAACCATCGGATGACCCCCCCAGAGCCCGGTTCTCCGTCTTCCCACTGGTCTCCCCCAAGTCTGTGCTCTACCCCCCAGGTTCCGAGGGGACTCGGGAGGAGGCTGCCTCATGGCACAGGGAGGGGGCAGGAGCAGCCCAGCGTCTCCCAGGCCAGCAGAGGGAGGGGCCGACCTTGGAGGGTGTGGACCCCAGCTGAAGGCGTTCCGGGAGGTGGGCCCTCTTCCTGGCTCCCTTGCCTGCCCCGCAGCCAGGACCAGCCTCCTCGGCCAGGACCAGCCTCCTCGGCCCTTTCTCCGTTCTCCCTTTGCTCCGTGTCAGGCAGGGCCATTTCCGTCACTGGCACCTGTCACTGGCCTGCACACCCTTGGGGACTTTCTGGGAGTCTGCGACCTCTGCTTCCTGTTCCTCTGGACAGAGTTAAGGTGGGAGGCCTGTGGGTCAAGGGGCTGCGGGAAAGTCAGTTCTCATTTGCCCTTGAACAGAGGAAGGCGAGCCCGCACCGGGCAGCGTGGTCTCAGACCGCGGAGGTGATCCCCTGGCGCCCTCCTCCTTGGCCTCCTCGTTTCCGGGCTCCATGTGGTGGGAGGAGGGTCCTCAGGGCTGGACCCAGGGCGCTAGGTGTGAGGTTCACTCTACGAAGCAGGCCGCATGGCCCGGGAGGGAGGCAGCCCTCGCTGGAGACGTCCCATAGCCCGCACCCTTCCCGGGCGCTCCCCCTCCCAGAGGTCCCGGGGCCAGGACGTGCTGTGGCACTGTGGTGGCCTGGGCTCTGGCCACCCCGAGCCTTCCCGTCCCTGGGGACACCCTGTCCTGGTGGAGGAAGGTACATCACCAGGGGTCCCAGCGTCCACGCACCGTCAGGGAGCGCCACTCCCTGTGAACCGAGGTCCTGCCTGATTGGAGGAGGGTCATTAAGACAGTTTGTGAAGCAGAGGACACTGGACAGACATCCTAACGTGTCCTCCCCTCTCCGGCCCGTCCTTCCAGCTGGGGGGTGGGAGTGGGGAGGGGATCAGAACGGACGGGGAAGAGCTGGTGGGCCTGACCCCTGGCTGGTGGCTGCCACCCAGCACCTTGGCAGAGGAGGCTGGGGGCCGAGGGTGGCTCCTGCAGAAGCTCGGCTGGGAAGGGGAGAAGCCGGAGGGCAGCAGGGAGCTCAGGATGTGGGGGGGGTGGGCTTTGTTTAAACCCATTGGTCTGTAACATGCTGCAGAGCACCCCTCAGAGCTCCTGGAGGAGAGGCCCCGACTGGGTCGGCACCCTGGCACCCTCGGTTCGGGGGTCCGGGTGGGAAACGGGTGACGCCTTCCTGTTTAGACACTTTGTATTGACACATATGATGGTCCTGTTTCTGTCGGGCTGAAGTACGGCCTCGTGCTGCCATGGGCCCGCACCCACTGCCTCCACACGTGGAAAATCGGCCCCTGTGAAATGTTTAGGGGGAGGGGGCAGAAGAGAAGCAGGCTGGCTCCCCCACCGTGGCCCGGAGTCCGGGGCCATCGGAAAAAGTCTGGACGAAGAATGGTTTTGGAGCTTGGCTCAGCGCGCATTTCACAGCGGCCAGTTGTTGGTCTAGGAACGGCCGGGGGCCGGCGGGGGGTGGGGGCTGCTTCCACTGCCACTTTTATGAGATGCAGCCCCCTCCACAGCTGGCTGGCGCGGGGGAGGGTGACTGTCCCAGCTCAGCTCTGCCTCTCGGGGTGCAGCCCCACGCCGCGGGCGGCAGCTTCCCAGGCCCTGTCCTGTGGCCTGGGGTTCCGAGCCTGTGCGGCCCCGGCCGGCTCAGCCAGGAGAGGCCGCCAGGAGGAGCAGCCTCGTGGCGGCTGGGTGGTTTGGGACGCAGTGAGACTTTATAGCAGCCTTGGCGGGAAACCCGTCCCAGAATGTTTCAGCGTTTCATTAAATGCACGGAAGGAAACTTTCCACTGGACCGAGGCCCAGGGCCTCCACGGAGCCTCAGGGGAGGCGGCAAGACTCGGGAGAGCCCACAGACAAATGGGGAGAATTAATAGAAAGTCGTGTTTCTTATCTGACCCTGTTCACAGCGATCGTGCCCAGCGCCCAGTGTGGGCCTGGCATGCAGAGGCGCTCAGCCCGCCCTCGGCGAGGGTCGTGTGTGGTAAGCGCAGCGGTCATAGCCAGCGTGGGTCAGGCTGAGTGAGGGCTGCGAGGGCAGGGGGAGCCTGTGACGGGTGGGGCAGGCCATGCGGGGAGCACTTGAGGGCAGTGGGCCAGCCCCTCTCTGGGAGCACACAGCTCCAGACACCACTGCCCCTCTGCCACACTGGCCAAGGCCGGAGGAGGCAGGCAGGTTCCCGCAGCCTTGTCCGTGAGCCATGTCTGCAAGGCTGGCCCTGGCCCACAGAGCACATACAGCCCCAGCAGCTGGGGCATTTGGCAGGCCAGATGGCCAGGTCCACAGGCCAGCCATTGTGCTGGGTGTGCGGGAGAGGCCAGGGAGCCAGGGCTCGGCCTCCAAGAGCCAGTGTGATGACAGGCATTGTCACAGTGGCCAACATGGGCAAGCTAACGAGCTGGGCACCATGCTGACTCACCTCGCAGCCTCTGGGACCGCCGCAAGCTCAGTCTCATCTTTCCCATTGCGGATGAAACATGGGCTCAGAGCTGGGGAGTCAGGGCCTCACCCCAAGGTGGCACATCCTTGCAGTGGCTATCTTTGGACTCAGAGAGGCAGAGGCCCTCCTGGGCTCAGGGTCTTACCTCCCAGCCCTGGAACCCCCTTCAGGTGTGGAGGCGAAGGGCCGAGGCGTAGACCTAGGTGGGGTGCCGTCATCCGTGGGTGCAGCGTTCTCACCTCTGGAATGAAGATGGTTGCCGGTGTCCAGTTGTGTATGGCAGACCACCAGGGGCGTGACCAAGGGCTGTGGGACCTGCTGCCTCCTCTCCCTCAGGGCCTTACCCCCACCCACAAACACCAGACAACTGTTCAGAGCCAGCAGGAGTGGACATAAAGGCACAGGCTCTCCCAACAGCCACCAGAGGGCCAGGCAGGACCCCGGGTGGGCAGAGCCGACAGCTGGCGTTCGGACAGCACGCAGGGGCGGCTGAGCAGGACTGGCTGAGGGCATCCCCAGGGCAACCTGGTGACCCCTGCCCCCTCTGAGCTGGACCGCCCGTTATTTTGCAGACAGTCTCCATCCTGGAGCAGCGGCTGACGCTGACGGAAGACAAGCTGAAGCAGTGTCTGGAGAACCAGCAGCTAATCATGCAGAGAGCAGCACCGTGATCAGGGGAGCAAGAATCAGGAGCTCTGTCGATTCGGGGGGGCGGCGGCAGGCTGGGGGTTTGTACTGTGGGAATCGAGTAAATAAATCAAGGGGATTCAGCTCTGGGAATCACGTCCCACCCCGAGCCCAGGGGTTGCGCAGTCTGCCCCACCCCGCTGGCCGAGCTTGGAGGCTCCTCACCCAGCATGGGGCCCCATCTGCGGCCGCACGTGCAAAATGGACCACGTCTAGTGTAACGAAGAGGAGCCACCTCGGAGTCCTAGGGAGCCCTGAGATTGCAGTGCCCCCTGAGGACGTAGCCCCAAGCCACCTAGGGTCTGTCCTCCCTTCTGCTACGTGACTGGTTTCCCAGCCACCTCAGTTTAGACAGAGACTGCTCTGGATGGTTAAACCGGGAGTTTTCTTTGAATCTGACAAAAGCCACAGTGCGGGCCCATCCGAGCACTGGCAGCACTCAGCCTTCCTGTCCCTGGTGGAGGAAGGCGCATCAGCAGGCAGAGCCCGGGGCTCTAATGGCTGGGAAGAGCCTGTCGTCTCCTGCATGTTACCCAGGAACAAGCACTCTGGCTTTGCAGGGGTCTGGGTTCTACTCCATGTGGGGCTGGGTGACTTCTGTGTGTGCGAGGGCAAAGGAGCCTGAAAATTAAAATGGACTTTATCGAGCTTGTCATAGAAATGGCACATTCTGAGTGAGGCCTCATTGGCGCCCCCACTGCCGAGGGCCCATACGGTGAGAACGAAAATGGCCACCGGGGAGGGCCCTGCCAGGGTCACCTCCGAAGCCCAGGACACCTTGTTTGCAGCCATTCGGGTGTTAGGGGAGCAGGGACAGCCCGAGCCCCTGCACGTTGTCACCCCCTTCTGGCTGGCCCCAGTGGCTCCTTCGGCCCGTTAGGTTGGGACCTGCAGGCACCTGCATTTCCCTTGGCTCACGAGGGTGCCCGGAGTCCGCCCTCTGCATCCGTGCAGAAACCCAGGCAAGTGTTTTCCATATGTCCAGGTGTCATCCATGCTGTCCGCACTTGGCTTCTGGGGGACAAGCCAGCCAGGGAGGGTTTCATCCTCCAACACACCTGCCCTGCCCTGGGGCCAGAGGGCCAGTTAGATCTTCGGGGAGCTGTCAGTACCACTCTGCTAATGAGGGCCCCGGCCTCTGCGGCTTACAGGTGGGACAGAGCCCGAGTGCCTGGGAGCTTGGGCCGACAACACACCTGTTCTGTGTCCTGATCCAGGAGGCTGCCTCCTCCAGCTGGGTGGGGAGAGAGCAGCAGTCTGGGTCAGGGCCCCGGCTCTGCCTTTGGACTGCTGCGTGACCTTAACGTGGTGACACAACCTTACGTTCTTGTGTTAAGTGGTGGTGAGAGCCGCCTCTCCAGGTGGTTATGAGGTAGGCCTGCACCACCCCAGTACAGCAGGTACCCAACCGAGGCCCATCGCTTCCCACCCCTACCAGCCTCACTGGGACCGCGGGGCCTGCTGTCGATGGCATGCTCCCCACAGCTTAGGTGAGGCTGGTCTGAATTGGCAGATAAGGCCCTCAGCTGCCTGGGAGGCCGTGGGCTCTCCATCCCTGGAGCTTTTAGGGAGAGTCTGGGCAACCCTAAGCCAGTCTGTTCAGTGGGAACAGAGCTTGTGGGGCCAGCCTTGCCATCCTCTCCTGCGCTGGCTGTCTTGACACCGACGAGCCCTAGGCTGCCCTGTCATGGCTTCCAGACTTGGAACTGGAGGTCCCAGGGCTCGGGGCTCTGGTGATGTGAGCAGACAGCCCACGGCACAGTCATCTCCACAGACACAGATGATGTCCCTTGCTGGGGACAGCAGGGCAGGAACAGTGCAACAGCCTGGGCTGGTGGCAGGCAGGACTGTCCAGGGGCCCCTCACGGGCAGGGGAGCAGTATGCGGCTTGGGAGGGCTCTAGCTGGTGGGTGAGGTTGGGGACCCTGTGACGGGGCCTTTCTTGCGGTCCCCTCCTGCCAGCCCTCCCCGATGGCTCCGCTCAGTCCCCGGCCCGCTGCCCAGCTCCACAGCCACGTCTGTAAGTGCACATGCCTTGGCCCCGCCACAGTCTCTCGTTTTGGATTTTGGTAACTGAGCTCCCAGGAAACCAATCTGCAGGCATCTCTTTTTTGGCTGGGAAGATGAGGCTAGGGTGGGGGCTTTTTGCCAGGAAGCTCATTTCTGTGGTAATTCCCAAGCCCCGCTCCCTGCCCTTATGCCCTAATTTCCTAAAGTGAAATAAAAGAACGGGTGTCCATGACTTAATTGTGATCCTCCACCTATCCTTTGACAGATTCTTGGGATCCCCGGGGTTAACCGGCACTTCCTGCCAGAAAAACTGAGGGGAGCAGATCGACCGAGCCACAGAGAAGCAGCGTGCCAGCCCTGACCCATGGCAAGCCCACTGCCCTTCTCTCCTGAGGTCCAGAGACTCAGGTGTCACGAGCCATCCTCCCACCCAGCACTGTCCTCCTCCCTCTGTCCCATGATCTTCATGATTTCTCCTTGGTGCTGGGCCGAGGGCGCAGGCTGCCAGCAGGACAGAGCAGTGGAGTCAGGGGGTCGCTTTGAGAGTCAAAATCCCAGCTCTGCCCTCAGCTAGCTCTGTGACCTTGAAGGACTTCCCTGACCTTGTAGAGACTCCCTTTGTGAGATAGTGCCTGTCTTGCTGGGCACAGGAGGCACTCAGAGCAGTGACTGACACAGAGCGAAAGTGTGGTCGGTGTGGGTCTAGGAGAAACTTCTGGCAGGCCAGGCTGCTTCGCTGAGACTCGGCCATGTGTCAGTGGGGATGGGGGCTGGTGGTCCTAGGGCCCCTCTGGCTCTGAGCTTCTAGGTGGCCAGAGTTATGGCCACTTGATCCGGTGGCCCCTGCCATGGGCATGCCCAGTGCGAGGAGAGAGTGAGGCCGGCAGGCCGGGGGCTCAGGGCAGCCCCTCCCCACCTGAGGAGGCACGCCCTCCAAGACCACCTCTTCCCCTGTCACTGGAGCCACCACTGGGGCCGGCACAGGCTTGGGGGTGGGCGTTTGTGATTTCCCGGAATCCCGGAAGCCCAGCCCACAGAGCCAGCAAGAGCACATGAGTCATGGTGGCCCTGTTGTCCCGGCTCCCTGTCATTAACTTCATCTTCCTAAACGAGGTGCTCAGGATGGCCTGATGGCTCCAGCCTTAATTGGCGTGTGGCCATTTAAGCGGTTAGAAATTCACCCAGGGGCTCTCGCCAGGCACCCCTGCCCCACCCTGCCCCAGGCTGCTGAGGCGGGAACCACCGTGCCAAGGCGGCAGGCTGGTGGTGGCCCAGTGCCATGGGGAACCAGTCCACTTCCTGCGAGGAGCCCAGGCACCGGGCCTAGTCCCGTCGCCCGGCGGGCCCCAGCCCACCCCAGCTGGCTGCCCTGGCACCCTGGGCTCACCGGCTTCACCCCCGCCCCTCAAACCCACAAAGGCCGAGGACGTGGGGCCCTCACAGCCAAGCCAGGGAGCCTGGGGCGAAGCCATTAGGAGGCTTCCTGTGCCAGCCCCTCCTCGGAGCTAGCGTATGGAAACACTCTCCCCAGAACCTATTTATAGAGCAAGGCCAGGGAGTGCTTTCCCTAAGGTGAGGCCGCCTCCAGCCCCGTCTGCCTAGGGCTGCTCCTCCTGGTGGGAACCTCGGCCCCTACCCACTCTCCCACCCGCCATGAGAAATCTGGGTGCTGGGACAAGGCACCTGGGCAGAGGAGGACATCTCATCCCCAGACTTCCTTTTGCTGTCCCTAAGCTTCTTTGAGGCACACGTGTGCGTTCCTGCCGTGGGACTTCGGCATCATTTGCGGTACCCAGTGGGCAGAGGCCTGGCCTGCAGGACCGGGGACCCATGCTGTCAGGGTCACCCAGCCCCTGTCCCTGATCCATCTTTCCCCAGCTGGCTGCCTGGACTCAGTTTTGGATCAAGACTGACTTCAGAGCCCTGGACGTCCCTGAGCACCTCGGGCCCACGCTGATCTAGCCCATGTCGTTCTCCTGGTCCCAGGCCTGGCCCAGAGTACACGTTCCCTGCAGATGCTGTCCTCAGCTGGCCCCTTCCAGACCTTGGCCCTGCCCCTGCCCCTGCCCTCCGCTGGTCAGGCTCAGCCCACGGCCTTGCCTTGACCAGGCCAGGTCTTTCTAGAACCATCCAGCTCTCTTAGAAGCTTCTATGGTGCTCCACCCCACTCTGCACTGAGCCCCTCAAACTCTGACCCTAGCCAGAGGCGCCCCAAAGACATGCTGTCAGGACCAAGATTGGGACGGAAGTGCTGATCATGCTCCCAAGGCCAGCTCCTCCCCCATGCCCAGCTCCGCCCCTAGCAGCTTCCTCCCAAGACAGCGCCCCTGGTTTGGCTCCTCAGAAGCCTCTGAACTTGGAGTAGGAGAAGCAGTGTAGTTAGCCCTCTCGGGCCCTCCAGGCAGCAGCTCATGTACGCTGCTTACTGGAAACGGCGGACCTTCCCGTCACAGGCCTGGGCTGGTCTGCTTCCACGCTGCCGCTGTGGGACTTCTCAGCTAGAACTGTGATGCTGACCTCCCCCAGGGTTGCCCTGGTCCTAGGGTGGGGTCCAGCTCCCCTAGTAGGGGTGTGCTCACGAATGAGGCTTCCAGCTGCCATTCGTGGGGCCCCACGAGGAAGCTTATGCCCTTTGAGGCCTGAAGTCTCCTCTTGGGAACAGATGCTCTGGTTTGGGGAGCCTCAGCTCTGTGGGCCCTCTGGTGGGGGAAGAGAGCCTCGGGCTGGGGCAGGACGGGTGAGGGCCTACACACCACTCAGCCGTCCCGGAGCCAGGACCTGCTGAGATGCTGCCTGCTCATTGCTTGGTCTGCTCTGCCCTTGGCCCGCCCCGTCCCTTCTCCACATAGCAGCCTGAGGCTGCCGAGTTGTGCAGTGGCTCATGCCTCCCAGCAGTCCTCCAGCCTCCCCGAAGTGCAGGCCGCTGTGCTCACCACAGCCGTGATGCCCCCTAGGTCCCATCCTCACCCCCACCCCCACCTCCCACCACTCTACTCGCATGCCCCTCCGGCCACGCCAGCCTCTTCACTGCTCCTTGGACATATCCAGCACGTTCCAGCCCCAGGGCCTTTGCACCTGCTGTTCCCACTGCCGGGAATGCGCTGATCTCGCCTCTATGCCGCGGCTTCCTCATTCATAACGTGCAGTAAGAGCAGGAGCGGCCTTACGGGGCGGCTGGGAAGATTTGCTCGGACAATTCACACAAAGTTCTAAAGCAGGCTTTGTCCGTGCTGGGCTCTAATCCACGACCTGGGAGGTGGCTGGAGGTGGGGACGGAAGGGCTGGGCCCCCTCATTGGAGCCCTGCAGGCTGGCCAGCCGGAAACCTGGGGCTCAACTGGTGCCCCTAGAAAGGGAACCCCTTGTACCCCGTAAGGCCCTCAGGCTCCACTTCCTAACCGCCGCAGGTCTGTCTCACCAGATGCCCCCCACATGCCAACAGGGCTCCCACACAGCCTGTTTCTAATGCGGCTTCCAGCTGCCAGGCCAATCTGGAGGCCCGTGCACGGCCCCCACCGGACAGTGGGGGTGGGCAACCCACATGCCCGGCCTCCCTGCCCGCCCATTAGCCGGTGGGCGAAGGTGGGGATCAGGATGGGCTGGGGTGGGGGCAGCAGGGCTGGCTCTGATGAGCATCTCGCTGCTGCCGAAGCGGCCGCGGGGGGCTTCCTCGAGCCCATGGACCCGCCCGCCCACGCACCTGGCTCTGTCCTGCCCCCAGTGGCTCCGAGCCTCGGCCAGGCAGGGCCAGGGATTGGGGCTTCTTCGGAAGGAGACGAGTGGGCCCTCCAGGGGTATCTCCACCCCCCTCCCCACCACCACCCAGCAGACCGCTGGCCTGGGGCCTTCTGCAGGGGCCTGGGAGCCGGGCAGCCAACCTTGCAGGGAGGGGGGTGGCACCCCAGGACCTCTGTGGGTAAAGTCTTCCCCTCCTCCCGCCTCCTCTGCCCCTCCCTCCCTCCCTCCTCCCCGTTCTCTTCCTCCAAGACACATGTTTCCAATCCCCTCTCAGGCCCCTCTCCAGCCCCTTCCCATCCGCTGCATGTGCAACTCATTAGGAGACCCTCGGGGCTCGAAACCCAACTCGGGCCAGGCGTGGGACGGGCCCCTGTCCGCAGCGGCCTCCCCGTCCAGCCCCTGTGCAGCCCCGTGCAGCCTCGGGCTGGAGACCACAGGAGCTGGGCATGGCCAAGAGCTGGCTGATGCCGGGTAGGGGAGCGCAGCCAGGCGGCAGCTCATCTCTCTCCTCTCCAGCCTGCTGTCCGGCGCCCATTTAATCACCGGAGCCACCCCAGGAGCCAGGCCGGATAGCTTCTGGAGTCCCACCGGGGCAGCCGGACCCGTTTGTGAAAAGCAGGCCTCAGGGCCCGTAGAGTGTGCCGGAGGAAGGCGTGGGCTCTGAGCGGCTACCTCAGTGGCCCTCTCAGCTCCCCACCCGAAAACGTGAAGGAGGGGTCCAGAGAGGAGACGTGGTGTGAACAGCCACTGGGCAACATAAGGCCACGTCCTTCCCTGAAAGACGCTGAGGGCACAGTCCCACGGACTGGTAGTGGTCACTGGAGTTTGGGAAATGCCAGACGAACAGAACAAAGCCAGCTATGTGCCTGCGGGACTGGCCGGAGCCCTTCACGCTCTGTGCTGTGCAGTGTAGCGAGCATGGCGTTTCCCAGGCGCTGGACCACGTGAGCCTTCATGGCGAGCTGGACCCCACTTTGGACAGCGCTGCGGAAAAGCCCTGAGGGGTCCGGAGGCGTGGGTCAAAGGCCCCTGCTGGGACAGGCTCCCTGAAGCCCGAGCGCGGCTGTTTCCTGCTGGGAATTGAATGGGGGTGACAGCTAAGGAAGGGGGAGCAGGAGGCAGCAGAGGCTGGCGAGGCCAAGGCTTGGAGGTAGGACCATGCTTGAGCCATGTCAGGGCGCTGGGGACACTGATTTCCTCCCTTCCTCATGGGAGGCCAGGCAGGTGGGTGGGCAGAGTCGGGGGCATGAGGCTGGCGGGCAAGGCCTTGCCCCGCAGGATGGGACCTGCGTGGGCCAGCTCCAGGTGATGGGAGTGTCCGTGCTGCCACCCCCACCACAATAGCCTCAGGACGAGGCCGCCACCGACTCCAGGCTCAGAAGAGCTGCTTTGTCTCGGCTGTTTTCTGTCCCGTTGGGCCAGCCCCTCTGCTCAGAGCCCGTTCTGCCCACACTCCCTGGCCTTGCCCCCAGGACCCTCCCCACACTATGCAGGCACAGGAGGGCTGAGCAGGGGCCGTGTGCTTGGCGCAGGGCTGTGTCCCCCACCGCCTCACAGCGGCCTTGCACGGCACACTGCGCCCACTCCATTAATGAGCCTGGAGAGGGGAGGCCGGTGGGCGAGTCGGCGTGGGGACCAGGCCTCTCACCTATGCCCTGTCCCAAAACACATGGCACTCACACCTTGGTCGTCTGAAGGCCACGTAGGGCTGTCCGGCTATGTCCAGTGCAAGGCCTCGCCAGCGGTCAGCCCTTGACCTTGTCTAGTGTAGGTGTTCCAGGCCAAGGCCACGCCGGCTGCCTGCAGAGCTTGGGGGTGGGGCAGGGTTGGGGCCCAGTCCCTTAGGCCAAAGAGCCCCTTCCTCCTGACAACCCCACTGTAGAGCCTGCCCGGCTGCCCCACGCTCTGGGAGTTAGGGTAGGCAGAAGGTGTTGCCCCACTATGGATGGGGCAGCTGAAGCGCCGCCAGGGCCCCCCAGTTCTGTGACGGACTGTCCCCAGCTCTGTCGGGCCTCCTCATGTGGTCGTGCCATAGCCTGGGAATCCAGCCTGCTCCTCAGCTTGAGTTCTTGGGCCGGGCCTGGTGGTTCTGGGGAAGCAGACGAGGCTCTTGGGAAGGTTTCTGGGGAGGACTCTGGCTCCAGCAAACTGCTCTCCCAACACCTCAGCTCCACCAGCCCTGGGCTCTGAGCTGCCCATGGGGCCCCGGCCGGAGGGCTGTCCCATCTGGAGATGAGGGGCAGGGCAGTGCTGTCTTCTGGCCATGGCTGGGGCAGGGGCCCTCAGGCAGAGCTGGCCCCTGGTCCACCCTATCCTTACCTCCAAGGGCTGCCAGGATCCCTGAAAGTCCATCGGACCCCTCCTCTCTCCCAGGAGACCCCCATCTTCACAGAGAAGGCATCTCCCAGGCCTGGGGACACGTGCCCCTGTGGCAGGAGTAAGGCTGGGTGGGGCCGGGTCAGGAAGGGGAGTCCCCCAGACTGTTTCCTGGTGCTGCCACCGGGGCCTGCCTACCTGGGAAGATCCAGGCAGGTGCTGGCCCGCTGAGTCCGTGTGAGCTGGCGCTGAGTGTGAAACCTGGGATGGGGCTGGGCGCTGAGGCTTCGGTCCAGCAACCTCATACCTGGACCAGGCCAGCTAGCTCCCAGGCCATTTCTCCAGCCTCATCATGGTCACGTGGTTACTGTCACCGTCACCGTCAATGCCTCATAGGAGGGATTCCTGAAAAACAGGGCAGCGTGGGCCGTTGGGGAGGAGGTCCGACAGGCCTGGGCAGCAGGCAGATGCTAATGAGGCAATTAGGCCTGGCACCTGAAGCGGACCCAGCCCAGGCCCCCGGCACATCCGCTGCCAGATGCCCCGGGAATTCCCAGCCTCCTCCACCCTCCCAGCCTCAAAGGCTGGACTGGCTTTGCTGTGAGGAGCCTGCCCCGCTGGCTCTCCTAATCAAAACACCACAGGCTGGTTGGGCAAGGGACACCCAGGGCACTCCCTCTCCCCCGACGCCATCACTATTCCATGCCTTTTCTCTGGCTGAGACTGCCTGCCCGAGATGCCCTCCTGCCCTCTGCCCCCGGCTCAAACCACCAAGGCCCCAAGCCCTTCCTGGCAGAGGTGGCCTCAGAAGGATCAGCAGCTTGGAGCATGAGGCCAAGGGTGACCTGGTGGCCAGATGGGCAGGCAGCTAAGGACCCCTGCTCCCCAAAGCCCTGGTTTCCATCCCTCAGAGCCCCGCATGGGCTTATGAGGTACTGCCCACAAGCCCTGGGGTGTCATAAGAGGGAGGGGAGGTGAGCCCAGGGCTCTGGCGCCATGGCTTGGGGGCCGAACTGGCCCACCTGAGCTTCCCTGAGTCCTTTCCCTCTCTTACCCTCCTTCCTCTGAGTCCCAAGCAAATCAGACCCAGCGACCTGGCTTCCAGGGGCTGTGGAGCAGCTTCTCCTGGCCCCCTCAGGCCTCAGTGCCAGCAAGTGGGGCTTCCAGCTGTGCCACACCCACCCCCAGCCAGCCCCTCCCTCAGGGTGGTGGTGTGCAGGACTAGAACCCACGTTTGGGACTCTAGGGACCCCTGGGTCCACCAGGATTGGGAGTTTGGGCTCAGTCCGTGGAGGAAGGATGAGCTGCACCTGGGTTGGAGTGGGGGCCACTCTGAAACAAAGAAATCAGGGCCCGAGCCCGCGGCCAGGAAGAGGCCCTGCCAGGCACGGCAGCGGCAGGGGTCCATCCCCTCATGGCACGGAGCCTCTGGGAACGGAATCTCACAGTGACTCTGGACAGGTCATGCCGAACAGGCCGCCGCCCAAGTGAGGGATGCAAGCGGAAGGCTTCTAGAATCACCTAGCTTGGTGGGGGGTGGCCAATGGCATTTTAAGTTACAGGACCACGTGCTGACAACAGTCTAGAAGGTGGCCCATGTTCCAATTCGGGCTCAGCCACTTCCCAGGGGCCCACTCAGGATGAGTGGGTTTGGGGGGAAGGGTGAAAAGGCGGTCAAAGGAGAGAGCTGGGAGAGGTGGGTCCCGGGGGGCACCGGTCAGTGCACAGGCCCCGAGAGAGCAGGCAGGACGCTGCAGGGGCCGGGCCTGGGCAATGGATCCTGGGCCCTGGGGGGTGGCAGGGAGGTGAGGAGAGGGCAGGTCCAGATCCCCAAGGGCCACTCTGCCAGGAACCAGGGGAGGGCCAGGTCTGATTCACATTCTCACGGGATCCCTCCGGCAGCTGCGTGGGGGGTGGACCGTGCAGATGGAGCAGGGGGCTGAGAGGGAGGCTGGCGACATGATCCAGGGAGAGCTCAGAGGGCCTCGGCTGTGCGGTCATGTTGGAGAAAAGACGAATTCTGAAGCTGGGTCCTGGGCTGGGTCAGCCGGGCCTGCCGCGGATGTGGAAGCGCATCTGACAGCACGTGTGCGCGATGCAGCCCCCTCTCGTTACCGGTCCCTCCAGTCTGTCTCCCCGCATGCTGTCGGCCCCCGCCACCCCAGACGTGAGAAGAGCTGGTCGAGCCAGGGACCTCCAGGGACTGTGCCTGGGCCTCTCCCTGCAGGAGCCCGGAGCCGCCCTGAGAGCCAGCTGGAAGCCCCGGGGCTGGGGGAAAGGAGGCCAGGTCCTCGGGCTGGGGCCCAGGCCCCTGGCACAGCTTGGTCTGTGACCACAGGCTTCGGTTTCCCCATCTGTCAGAGGGGTCGACAGCCCTCTCAGGGCTGATGCAAAGCCTGGACATGGGGCCAGAGGGGAACACGATTCGAGACAGTCAGGTGTGCACCTGCCCAGGAAGCCCGCGTGGGGGAGGTCATAGCTGGGAGCCCCAGGCGAGCACATCCACCCTCCCCCCAGACCACCCATCCCACTCGCCAGTGTTTGTGTGTTTCCTTCCCATCACCTGGGCGACCATGACTCAGCCCAGGCCCAGTGGGTAAGTGAGTAACCGGCTGGGGCTGGAGCCAGGCCCTTGGGCAAGACATTCCCCTTCCTAGGCCTCAGCTTTCCCATCTGTAGAACAGACAGACAAGCCCCGCTCCGTTCACCTCGCTGGGGAGCCTGGGGTGAATCCCGAGCCAGGGATCTGAAAAGCCTCAAAGGAGGGAGCGCATCGTGGGGTGTGGCCTCTGTGCCCGAACAGAAGCCAGTCCCGAGTCAGCCCTGAGCGGAGCTCGAAAGGCTCACTCATCCGGGTGACCAACCCAGCAGACCCCCGTCTCTCTGAGGGGAAACTCTACCTGTGAGAACCTGGAATAGAGGGAGAGTGAGCCATGAGGAAGGCCTGGTCGCCCCCCCACCCAGACCCCCGCAGGCTGAACTGCCCTTACGTGCTTAGAGAGGGGCACACGCTGAGCCCCACGGGTGCTCAGCTGAGGTCTGCCGAGGTCAGGCAGGGCTGGCTTCCTGACGCGGTGGCCCCTCCGAAGCTGGAGATGATTTCAGAGGGTGGGGGTGGGGGATGAGGAAGTGTGTGAGGAGGGGTGCTGAGTCTGGGGCATAGACTAGGGAGCAGGAAGAGGTCAGGGTGAAGTGAGCCGGGGTGGGGACAGGCCATCGGTGCTCTGGCTGTGAATGGAGACTAGCAAACAGTGTTTATCTCCCTCTCTCCCAGTCAGTCACATTGTCATGCCTGCTTGCAAGGGTTTTGAGGCCAGTGGATGGTTCAGCATAAGAAAAAGTGCTGTGATCGACTAGTATTGTCTGCCAGGGGCAAAGCATTGCAGAGCGGTGAACGTTAGTTGGTCCTCTATTTTTCCTCCTCAGGTGGCCCCAGTGGGCTCGGTATGTGTCTGGGAGGGGCACGCTCTCCGTGAGTAACCGTGGGGATTGCTGTCACTGGCTGAGAAGGAATTATTTCAGTCTAGTGCCCCTCGAGGTCCCACCTCACAGCTCTGCACACACCCTGGCTCAGGGCCGGTGCTCCGAAGGTGTTTGGACATGAACGGAGAGGACGCGCCCCAGGGCCCAGCTGTCTCCATCCTTACCCCTTCTCCAGGCAGCCCCGGGGAGCTCCCCGACTTCCCGGCCCTGGCTTTCATCCTGCCACGTCTTGTTCTCGGATTTTCCTGGGCGTGACCCTATCTCTCACCTGCTCCCCAGGGCCCCACCTGCCTACCCCCTCTGCCTCATATACCTGGGCAGGACATGGGGAGAATGAACAGACATGTGGGTCCCCAGCACCAGAGCTGCCCCAGACGACAGCTGCCCCAAGCCATCCTGCCACCACCCAGGGCCCAGCAGCCCCCCGCTGTTCCATCTAGAATTTGTCACCATGAGATCCCAGCGATGGCCAGTAGGGCAGGGTCAACCCAGGTGACTGAGAGAGGAGAGCAACACCCTCCTGTAACAACGCCTCTGGGGTCCCTGTCTGTGGACACCCCAACAAGAGTCTGTGTGTGTGCATATGATAGTATTGTGCACATGTGTATTGTATATTATTGCACTTGTGCATAGGTCTGGATTTGTATTTCTGTGAGCACATGTGGATATATCTGTAGGTATATATGTGTTTACACCTGCATTGCGTGTGTCCTTATGTGTGTGTGTGGGGGGGGTGTACATGTACATGCATGGGTGTGTATGGCCAGGAGTTCTGTCCAGGGCAAGAGAGTTGCCTGGCCTTTCACAGTCCAGCCCTGGCCCGGCTTAGACGTGACCTATTCTGACTGCAACTCACCAAGGGATAATGAAGAAGCTGTCCTAAGGGTTAGGGACAAGTCCGGGTCTCAGGCAGGGCTCTGATGGCATACCTCCTCCGGGCTGGAGCTGCCCTGGGCAGAGGCTGGCTTCATGGGCTGGGGGGCCCGGCCCCAGCCCCAGCTCGTTCTCCTGGTGGGATGTGGAACAGACCCATTGGGAAGCTGCCCTCCTGGAACCAAGCAGGAGCTCCCCCTAAATTTGTGCTGGGCTCTTAGGATAGGAGGGCAACAAACTGCCTGGCCCTCCTCCCCTCCTCTCCCATTCCCCGCCTGGCATATGCCATTCAAAACATGGTGGCCCATCTCTAAGGAATTCATGGGCACCAATGGGAAAAGGAAAGTCTGCTTCCAAGATGCTTAAACTGTTCTTGGTGACACAGCTCCTCAGTCATCAAGCCATGTGGACGTGTGTGTGTTGGGGGAGGGGGGGCGCACACCAGTTCATGTCTGCTCAGTTCACATGAAACATGCCACCATCACAACTAAGGTTCGCCCTGCTGGGAAGGCGCCTTCCCTGTGCGGGTCAGGGAGGGCAGCCCCAACTCGTGGGTTTGGGTCTGGCACCTGGGTGAACAGGGATGAGACAGGGCAGGAGGAGGAAAGGGCTTGAGGGGAGGTGGACATGCCATTGAGTGACCAAAGGGAGAAAGTCTGGTGGGGGGTGTTGAACAGTGACTGATAGAGATGGGGGCGGGGTCCCGGGAGCACGGAGCAGGGGGCTCATTGAGCCTAGAGGATCAGGGGAGGCTTTCCTGAGGGCGACTCCTGAGCTGGGATTTTCTAGAAGACCGGCAAAGGGTGAAGGCAAAAACATGTCCAATATGCAAAGGCCTGGAGGTGTGCGGGAGAGAGACAACCCTCAGAGAGCTCAGACACACCCCACCTGCACGTGTGTGTGTTGTGGGGGGCACACACCCTCCTGAGACCAGCTCCCCCTCACCCCACCCCAGGGGCCCACACCTGTTCTGGAGGTCCTCGCCCTGGTGAGTGGGCACCTCTCCTGGGGCCTGTAGGTGAGGGAGGGCCTGAACCCTGAGGGCAGGAAAGGGCAGATTCCTGAAGAGGAAGAATGTTTTGGCCCCAAGGCCACCCCCTGGGGCACCAGGTCCCCTCTTCCAGCATCCCTGAAGGAAATTCAGTGGCAGGGCAAGGCCCTGGCCTCTTGCTGTCTCGCCACAGGTGAGTTCCTGCTGTGCTCCAGGTCTTGTAGGTCAGAGGGTTCTGTCCCCCACCCCTGCCCCACATACGCCAAGGGCAGCCCTCTGTGACCCTGGCTGTCCAAGGCTGAAGGCAGGGCCTCCACTCAGGAACCAAGGCTTTGGGCCTCTCCTCTGACCGGGGTGAGGAGGGCCCAGGGCCCCGCTGGCACTGCGTATGGCCAGACTAATTCTCCTCCCCCCCTTTGCTTCCACCGCCACCCCCTCCCCATATGCTCTTGCTCTGTCCTCATCCAAACCCTGCCTCTCCTCGCTCCCAGCCGGAGGATGCCCCCGCCCCCCGGGGAATTCTTCCAGTCCCACCCACCCTTACAGGTCCCTCCTCCAGGGTGTGTCACTCCGATAGAGCAGTCCAGAGAGGGAGACACGAGGGAGCCCTCACAACCTAATGCGAGAGGTGGCAGGGCCTCCTTTCTTCCCTCATGCTTGGGGGCCGGGGACTGTGGGGACACAGGGAAGGTTCCCATTTCAGTTGTGCCCTCGCTGGTGAGAGCAGGGCCTAACTCCTCATTCGGCACTCCAGGAGCGGAAGCTCCTCAACCAGCCCCCAGGAATGATTCACTGGCCAGCCAGTCTCCTCCCTGCGGGTCTGCTCAGGCCTCTTTTTTGAGTGCTGCCTCCCTCCCTGACGACCAGCACCTGGACTGCCAGCCAAGGGACCTACCCACCTGGGTAGGTTTGTGATGGACAGGCTGGGCGCTGTCCAGGTCAGCACTCTCCATCAAAAACAGAACCAAAGAAGTGAGAAGCACACTCAGGTCACACAACGCATCATCAAGGGCAGGGCAGAATCTGGGTCTGGGCTTCTCAGGCTCTGGAGGCTCTTTCCACAGATCCTGGGACCCCAGGAAAGTAGGCTCTGCCCAGCCACCCCAGGACAATCCTGGGCAATGAGGATCTCTGGCTACAATGCTGTGTCTTTCTGGAGCTGTGACTGTGGGAGAGACCCCTGCTCCTTTGGGACAGACTCTGGGGCGGGAGATGAAACCCTTTCAGGTAGGCTGTGCTTCGCAGGGAAGACTGGGGGGAGCGGGTTCTGCTCCAGGGCCGCCCCACTTCTTGCCTCAGGGTCAGCGGAAAGCTCAAACCCTTCCGGTTCCAGAGCCCTTCCTTCGGCAAGTCTCATCACTATCGCCCCGCGCCTTTGATCCTGACTCCTTCCAGCTAGGGGTAGAGGCTGAGTGAGAGGGGTAATATAAGCCCAGGGAGGTGGGGGCACTCTGCCTGGCAGGGGACGGACCAGACGGACCGTAGGGCCCAGCCACGAGGTCCCTGCGCCGGGAGGCAAGCCCGGCTCCTTAGGAAAAGCGCGGCAGGCCCTGCGCACGCGCGCCATTCCAGTGGAGCCGCTTTGTTCCAGCGCTACCTGCAGATCCATTCACCTCCTTCGACCCGCCTGCGGGAGCGGGTACGGGCCGCTCGCGGAGGCCCCGCCCACTTCCCGCGCTGGGTGGAGCCGGCGGCGGGCCACCTCCCTCCCCCACCATCTCCTTCGGTCGCGATTGGCCATCTGCGTGGCGCACGCCCGCCTACCGCGAAAGTTGATTGGTGCGTTGGGAAGGAGGCAGGGGACGAAGAGCCGATTATGAAGGAGCGCTCCCCCTCCTACCCGCCCCTGTGGAAAAGTCACGTGGCGCTTCACTCGGCGCCTGTCACCACCCCGCTTGGAAAGCTTTCTTAAAGGGCTCGCTCTCTCCTTCCAGGGCTGGTCTTTTCCAGGATTTCTGCATCCCTGCCCACCGAAGGTGGCGTGGCCCTAGGCCGTCCTACTCTGCCAGTCGCCTAAGTGCTGATTCCCGATCAGGCCTGCTGGAGTGAGACCCCTCTCAGGTCTCGGAGCCTGTGGCCGTCACGGGAACTATGCAGTCGCCTGAAACGCTGACCGCCTAAACACAGTTCCTGGCACGTAGTAGGCGGTCAGTTTTCTTTTGTTGAATGAACTCGCTGAGAGAATGAATGAATAGGGTTGACAGGAGGGGAGCTTGGCTCAAGCGTGACCACTCCATCCCCGGGGACATTCTGCTTCTGTGAATGGGAGGAGGGGATACCAGGCGCGGAACGCCCCAGGGCAGCCCTTTACGGTAGGGCCCTGAAGCTCTGTGAGCGCGGGTATAGGGGACCTAGGAGGGCGCCTTGGCCGGGCCTCCAGGACGGGTCATAGCCAGTTCCGGGCAAGGCAAGCCCGCGGCGGCGGTGAGGCTGGGCGAGGGCCCGGGCGCCGATCTCCCGGTGCACAGG